TATTTTATTTTATTCTATTATATTAATTATTATATTAATTTTTAAGATTAATATTGATGACGAAAATAACGACATTCTTCCATGGCCAATTTATAGACCATATTTTAAAATAATATCTCAAAATAAAGAAAACAAAATCTGTTAGTAAAATGTTTGCCATGTCTACCAAAAAAATATGCAAATTTCAGTTAGCATTACCTCAACTTACAACATTGTAAAACATTTAAGGGTATAGATACTTAATAAATGTTTACAATTTTAATTTTAAATTTTAAGAGAAAACATCAAACACTCTTAATCTAAATAAAAAAGGGGAAGGAGAAAAAATCTATTAAAGAATATTGGATTAGGCTCATCGTCCATTGATTTTTTTTTCAAGAGACCTCAGACTTTAACCCAAACCACTTTAGATGATTTAATAACTGATTTTATTATAGATAGCATTCAGCCATTTTCAAATGTTGAAAATCCTTCATTTATAAAAATGATCAAAACATTAGCTCCACAAATAATATAATTTGCCGACAGACAGTGGTTGTTACTGAAATCTAATAATTATTTATAATCATTTAATCATATATTATATTATTTTATTAGTGATATATAATAATTATTTATATATTAATCATATATTATATTAATATCTAAAAATCATTATTTTAGTTATATTTTGATAAATGTGATATCGAGTCAATAAATTTTTTAGATCATTTCATGAATGTTCACAAGGTTTATTCAAACCTCATCTAAGAGTATAATAAAAAATGTATCTGTACATAGATACATTTTAAATTGTATCTGTATCAAGATAACTTTTTAGAAGCTGTATCTAGATAAATTTTTAGACGATGTATCTGTATCTAGATCCATTTAAAAAGTATCTTTTAACAACTATGGAAAATATAATATAAAAAGGCTTCACTAGTCCCCCGAAAAAATTTTAAACATCAAGTGCCAGTCTATTTTGGACCTTATAGTTCATATGCAAAATACTTTCCAAAAAGAACCAAATCAATGAATATGAATGTGCATTTATATAAAAGCGATATGGTGAATAAAAAGAACAAAATATATTTTTTTTAAAATAAAGATGCCACCACTCATTAACCCCAGAGAGGTTTTTCGGAATTCAAGGCTAAAATCATAAAACAAAACAATTTCAGAAGCCGTTAAATTAAAAATAATCGTTTTTCATTTTATTATGTTTTAAAGCATAAATAATTGAAAACAAGCCACACACCTTTTAAATATAGCCCTAAAGTTAAAAAAAATGGTAAAAAATATAGAAATATTTTGCGAATGCGAAACATCAATATTCATTTTTGCAAAAATGAATCATATAATTTATTTTTTCATCGATTAAAATCAAATTATAAGCAAGTTTAACGAAATGGGTGAAGGGATTATATATATTAAGTGTTTAACGAAATTAGATTTATTTTGGAATGGTAATAAGGAACAAGAGTTTATTATAAAAATATAAATAATGAAGAAGGAAGAAAAAAATATAATATTTTCTTATTTCAAGGTTGAAACGCCATTATAAAATATTTAAAAAAATTTAATGAGTAAACGTGTCAAGTCAACAAAATGGCATTTTCGAAGCAAAACAAACCTTAGTATTTTAAAAAATTATTGCCTTTAACTATTATAGCAGGTTGCCATGTCATCGTTGTTGAGTGACTACTCATTGGTTTAAAATGTTTTAACATATTTTTTCATTGATTTCAAGATTAATAATCAAATTTTTAAGGCGTTTTTTTATCCTGTGATATTTTTTAATATTATTTATTTCTCGTGGAATTTTTTTTCACTATTACTATTATGATGGATATAATACAAAAATAAATACCCAGATTTATTAAAAAAAAAATGCTTAAAAAATTTTAGGTTTAATACAATTTAAAAATGAGAGTTATAAAATAATTGTAATGTAATAATAATCAGGGATCCGACACTAATGAATATCGGTTCTGGTTTAGATATAGATAACAGTTTATAGTTCAAGTTCAGTTGGTAAAAAATTAATAATATAGGTTCGTTTTGAACCTTACAATATTTTTAAAATTCTCTTCCGTCAAATTATAATATGAAGAAGGAATAAATTCCATTGTTGAGAACGCTTCTGTAGCATACTGTCAAATAGGCTACGGATACTTGTCAATCAAAATTAATTGATAAGAATATTTCAAACAGTTATAATATCAAACTGGTACATAGATTTCTTTAGAGATTCTTTCAGGTACAAGCGACGAATTTCTGTCTAGTTCAGATTCTGTAAATAATAAATGTAAATACAGGTTTAACAGATTGTTTGATCCAAGTTAATAAAATATTTGGAAAAAACTATTATTGGAAAATAAATAATATTAAAAATGACTGTGATAATGACAATTTTAATAAAATATCGGTAGATTATATTTTCCATGTAGATTGTATTAATTATAAATAAAATAAAAAATTTTCAAAAAATAAAAAAAACAACGATTATTATATTTTTTCTGAAAACGGGGGCTTTTGTAATTTAATCAAAGACCTGACAAAGTACCATTTTCACGGCCCTGGTTTGAAAAAAAAATTTTATCGGCTCGGTCGGATTTATTAGAAATAAAATTTGGGCTTAGGGCCGGGCCAAGCCGAGCCTGCAGGTCTATGGTTAACGCCTAAAATTATTTTATACAATCATACATATTATATATATATATATAGATTTCCAACCACATATTAAAATTATTTTTTTCTGGCCAAGATGATGACAATTTAACCATATCCTAATAGTCGGAAACGGTAAATATGAATGAAAATTCCAATGAGTTAAGATGACCCTCATATAGCGTCCCAAGGCAAATAGTGTAGTTGTAGAGGCTTTGATTGCGAATTAGACACCTTTGCCGATATCCTGGGATCACGAATAATACGTACTCGAACACTAACATTTTTTTAGAGAACTAATTGTCAATTTATTTAGCACAATAGTTAGATAAACCACCCAGCAGAAAGAAATAGTATTTTATATGCAACTCGAAAATTAGAATAGTGAGAACCATCGATCAAGCAACAGATGTGTTAAAGAAAAATACGATATACATATATAAAGATGCTTCGATGATCTATAGATAGCAAATTATATTGAATTCTATTATGGGTTATTCATCGAGATCTTCATTTTTTACAGTATTCTAATCCTTTCTATAATTATGGAAAGGATGAGAATACTATAAAATGATAGTGACCTCCTGTAAATCACCCACTTTTTAGGGTTTATATCTCACTTACTTGTTTTAACACTAATGGCGAGGATACTTTCCTACTATTCGTGGCTCCTCGAATTATTTTTGAACTATCTTCCATACCAGACATACTTCACTTTGAGTTTAAAAATAAATATTAAATGAAATGGATGCAAGACTATAAAGGGAAGGAATGCCATAAATTTTTTTAAATGATATACCCCCTTTTGAAAAACTTTAAACTATTTAAAAATCAGATTGCAAATCTTATATTGCTGATAAGATTCAGCAGATAGGACCTCTTTCGAGAGAGCCTACTTTGTCACGACTTGTCCCTCCAGGGAATGACGAGCAATAAGTTTATAGTTTTGGATCTTTGCGAAAAACTTTAAATTTTCGAAATCATTAACTCTCCCCTCCCCCCTCCATGAAATAAAAAACAAATATGTCTTGGGTAGTAACATAAAGTTCTTTAAGTTGATTTATGCGCCCCTCCTCTCAAGGATTTTTGGAAGTATAATTAAGAGTTTAATGAAATTTTTTAAAAATTATTTGGCAGAAAAGGTATACCCCTCCTCCTGCTTTACATTACAAAAGAAGAGTAGGGAATAGGGTTCGGGATCAAAAAGCATAATATTTGCTTTTTGTTTATGTTTATTTTGTGTTTGAATATATATTTTAAATATTATTTTGGTCCGAACCTAAATTAATTTTAATCTCATCATGTTCCTTCAAATATTTTAAAATAAAGTTTTTGGTTAGCAATTTTTTTTTATAAAAAGAGTTGCATTTAAAACTGAATTATCTTAATAATTATAAAATTATTTATAATTTTAAATATTATTGATTATTGGATTTTATAAATAAAATAATCGACAATCATTTTTGTTATCAAATAAAATTTTAAAATTTTTTCAATAATTTTGGCATTTCTTCTCATAATAATTGAATTAAATTACTTTTTTATGAAAAATAAATTACTTTCACTTACGAATACAAATTTTTTTAAATTATTTATATTGGAAATGAAACCTCATTGATTTTTATAAAAATTGTATTTCCTCAAAACAAATAATATGTTGGAACTTGGATATGAAATGAAGCAAAATATGCTGTGGGGAATATTTAAGGAAGTTTCTTTACAATTTTCTGAATATATCTATTTGATGTAGAATCAGTATCTGTTGGCTTTATGAAAACGATTTTTTTTAAAGATAATTTTGAGAGAAGATTTTTCCAGTACCCTGCTCATATTAGATATTTTCACATTTTAAATCGGTGTAAAGTCAAAAAAATGGCTAAATAATCTCTCATAGGGATCAATTTAAAAAAGATCTATATATTTTATAAAAAATTTTTCTTCGGAACCTTCACTTTATATGAACCTCTGTTATATTTATTTTTATTTAACTACAACCGTAGACTAATTTTATGGATCTTTTGCTATAGATTATATAGTCTGATCCTCGGGTGTTATTTTGCTAGTATTAACCATACAGCATTTTTGGGATATGTTTTACCTTGAGGGTAAACATCTTATCGAGCATCAACAGTAATTATTAAGCAGTTATCAAACGCTATCGAAAATAGAAAATAATTACGTGGTCTAAGATTTGATATTTATTTTTTCTAAGTTTTAATGGTAATTATTTTAATCTGGCTTGTTATTTTCATATTCTTATTTAGTTTTTCAAATTTAGATTTTTTTCAAATTAAATTTTATAGGTTAGTTTTTTTAAAAGTTACATCAATCATATTTTTTTATTATACCTTCTCTGAGCATGCCAACGTTAAAACACTTTTGCAGTCGGCAAGCTTGACACGCCTTCCGCCTCCGTTTGGATATCTCGCAGCTCTCGTTTAGCAAACATCTGTACTCAATATTTCCTTGGATAGTTCGCTTAAAAAATGCCTTGCAGGCCTCGCAAGATGCCACTCCGTAATGGAAACCCGAGGACACGTCCCCACATACCAAACATAAGTTATGATTGTTATTGGTTGAGGTCTCGCGGTTATTCAAGGTACTTACTGCGATATTATCGGTGGTATTATTGCGGATGACCGAATTTTCGATGTTGTCGTGGTTCGTTTTAATTAAGCCATTCACGTTATAGGCGTTTGCGACCGTATGACTTCGTCCACTATTAGCGCTCACAATTTTATTATTGTTATTAGAATTGCGGGCGTAAAAGTTGGAAGAGTTATGAATATGATGCGTGCTACTGTCGGGCTGGATCAATTCTCGCTCCATGATTTCACTCCTTAAATCATCGTCTTCCGGTTCAAGGGTTCTCCTCCTCCTCATCTCTTCGTCGAGTTCACCGGCCAAATTCATCTCCTGGTCTCTCTCATCAATTCGATTTAAATCGTTCAGATCGTCTATGTCTATATCGTCGTCATCATCATCGTTCAAGTTACTATTGGTGGAAGCGAGTAATTTATTATTTTTGAGAAGCGCGTTTTGAAGGCGGGAAGAGGTTGTGTCCCGGAGGCAATCAACTACCGAGTCGTAGTCCAGGCTCCTAAGATCTTTAACGATGTCGTCGCAACAATAATTTTCATTGTTATTATCGTTATCATTTTCCTTTTTACGAAACGAGTTAAAGCATCGAATACTGTTGATAGATAAAAGCGAGTTATCGAGGCGAACATCGATATTAGAATTTGTGATATTATGATAGTTGCTATTAGTTTGAATGAAGTCAAAGTTGAGGGTAGGGTAATCACCGGGTTTGACTATTATACTCTTGGTGTTAATGGAGTGAATGGTTGTTATTTGAATTCATGGTGCAGTCCAAGGGGGAGCAGCTATTAGTTGGCGAGTTGGGAGAATTGTTGAAGAGGTAATCTTGAATATTGTCCAAGCAGGTGTCGTCCAATATAGAGTTTGCGTTGCTATGATTGTTTAAAATTATTAAATATAATTAATTACATGTTAGTCTCAAAACTTATTCAAAATATAAGTTTTTTTTATCCTACAAGTCTCTTATGTGTGTATAAAGATTGCGGTTAAGGGCTAAAGATTATAAGATCTCGGTTGTTAGGGTTCAATGGATAAAAATAGAAAGGAGTACAGTTAAGCTATCAATGAAATTAATAAATATTTGATTTGTTTTTAAAAAGTAAATACCTAAGTAACTCTCCTGGGAAAATTAAATATTTCAATAAATGTAAATGGTCTTAAATTATTGAGATGCCTTTAAATAACGGGTTTACATCGGTTCAGGGGAATTATAAAGAGTCTGCTACTGTTTAAAGCTGATCTATCTATATCTAATGATTTGATTTATATAATGTTCCTAGTGAACCTCTTATTTATTATTTTTATTTTCCTTATTCATTTTTTGCAAAATTTAATAATTCATTTCTTCGCTTTTGTTTCTAAAAACTTTTAAGTCAATTATTTAACGAAACTGATCGAATATTAAATCAAATATTTACTGAAATGAATTAAATATTTTATGAATCAATTTGAAAATAATTCAATTCAATTCGAATATGAATTCATTCAATTTGATTAGTATTTTCTTAGGCATGTCAATTTATTTTTTAAATCGAGCCGAACTAAAGAATAATGACCTATTTTATACCTGATGTTTTCGTTACAGTGACTCTCTTCATTTTCCTCCCGCTTGATGAATAATATACTCTTGTTGTTGAAACCCGTTTTATTATTGGCTAAGCCATTTTTATAATTAGGAATGGGAACTGCGTCGGCGAATAATTGGAAGTGACGAGAAGGTTTTGACTTGGGCGTCAGGGAAGAACGTAAGGATTCGTTGGGGGAATCTAAAATTTTGTTATATAGAAAAGAGAGTAAGTTTTTTTCAAAATGAATACCATTTTTTAAACTAATTATTAAAATCATTGCGTGATATTTAAAAAATAAACATAATCAAAATTTAGTGAATATAAATCTCTATAAGTTCGAATTATCGTAATAACAATGCCGTAAGCTAAAAAAATTTTAAAAAAATGAAAACTCAATTGTTTGAAGAATTTTTATAAAAATATATTATTACATGAAGAAATTTATCAATTATTACTGCTATAAAATGACATCTTACTATTAAGACTACAGGAAACAGAATGCTAATTGTATTAGTCTCCTGCATCGATTTTTTATGAATCTTAAAAAATGAAGTAAAAATCAGTAATTGCTTTGTTCCTTGTCACAGATAAATTCTAATTATTTTATTTTGATAAAACATAAGTTTCTATGTTATTTTTTAGAATTTTTCATGCCGAATTACAAGACTCTAAGCTTTATGTTTGTGATTTTACACATAAAAATCAACAAATTATTTGTATTTTTTTCGTTAATTATACAAAAATATATTTTTTTTAATTTAAATGGAAGATAACCAATATATTGTATTTGTGGATACATGTGTGCCGCACCATAAAAATCAATATTTATATATATTAAAATTTCAAGGAAATCTATATTGTTCTTTTTTATAATTGGAAGCGATTTCGTTTTCTCATGTTTCAAATTATAGCATTTTTATTAGTCAAATATCATTTTGTGGTTTATAATGTAAAAATCTTTTTAGTTAAGAAAATGATATTTTGTTTCAATCATTACACATTATAATAATTTCACTTTAATAATATTGAATACTGATATATATATATATAAGTTAGTTCGGAGCTTGAACGTTATGAGTTACATTATGCTTAGAGTGAGAAATGATCACCTTAGACGGATGGTTTGACTTTTTATTTTCAAGTCCAGCCGGATATTTAAAATTATCATTTTACTCTACCTTCCTGTCCGAGCTTGTTGGTCTCTAAATTTCACTTTGAAATATCATTTATTTCAACTAACCCAGAGGTTATTATAATTGCCATTTCGAATTCTAAATTGCATTCCTAAGAATCTTATGATATATCATTAAAATTAGATTTTTAATAAAGAAAGATAAAAAGATACCCAAAACTGATTATATTATTACGGGAGGCGGATAAGATTTAAAAGTAGTTTCCGTTTTTCTATCAGGCCTTATTAATTAAATTGTAAAAAAAAATTCGAAGATCATATTATATGTAAACTTAGTCAAATAGCCGCACAATTAATATTGACCAATCATTTCCTTTTTGGCCCATTGAGGCGACTCCAAAAAATAGCAAACCGAAGTTTTGAGGTATTGACTAAAATGAAAGTTTCAATCTTGAGGAAAACGAATAGCGGATTTATAAACTAACCACAACTAAAGATGCTAACTAAAGATTCTAACTAAATACATGAACAATAAGTTATAGATTTATAAAGGTCTAAAAATAACCTTCATTTTCTCTTACAAAAAATATTAGGGCTGTGCAGATGGACAGATTTTTCACCTATCGATCCGATCTGATATTTACCGATATTACTATAAAACCGATATGATAACCGATACCAATCCGATATTTATATTGATTTTTATTTACCACCTAACTAATCAAAAATGATTAAGTGTGTACTTTTTTTAAAAATTATCCTCCAAAAGTTAATTATCTCATTTAAAATATGAGCAATGTTTATAGCTGAATATAGTATTGCTAAACCTCACGATTAGCCGATTTAAAAAAAGATTAAATTAAAAGACAAAATAACATTACCAACCCTCGAAATTTCGCTAATAGGTATCCTAACCTTTCTGTCATTTGTGAGCAAAATCTCCATACATTTTGACTAAAATATTACAACACTAACTGAATGTGACTCGTTAGATATAAACCTTTACTTGTTGCAGATAATACATAACAAAAAGTAATGCCAAATTTTTAGCCCTATTTACATTTATTAAGAAATGACTGAAAGCATTTAGTAAATTTTATCAATGTTTAGATCATAATTGTATATTTAATTCGTTTGGTAGATAATATAAAAAAAAGAAAATTGCCAAAATAGATATCTAGCTAAAATGGAAAATATTAAAAACTATTTTCTCACTCTAATATGAGAACCACAAAAAGCAAGTGAGTCATCAAAATGAAAACTATGACGTCCCGTTCTAGGCCTGAAGTGAGCCAAGCTTTTAGAAACACTAACTCTGAAATTTATACTAAACAATTAAGCAGAGTTATGTTAGTATATTATATTGCTTTATTCTCCTTGGTAGTTGGCTTAAAGAGGAAAAGATCTATTGGTAAAAAATAAAAAAAAAATTCAAAATTAACAACATGCCAAAATGAAGAATATAGAAGTTCTAACTATTTAGTTTGCGTTGGTATTTAGTGCATTATTAATTCTTTAATTAATTTGGCCAGCCATTAAAAAAGTAACCGAATTATGAACCAAAAAATAACTATCACGCTTTAAGCGGAAAGTTAGCCAAACAACTGGAAGTATTATCTCGTAAATTTATGTTAATAATTAGTGCGTATTTCATACTTCTTTTTACTGCTTTAACCCTGGTAGATGTTTAAAGAAAGACATTTTTGGCAAAATAAAAAAATCGCCAAAATTTTCATTATGCTAGAAGGAAATTAAAGAAACAAAGAACAATATTTAATGCATGACTGGAGCTTACCGTTCATATAACAGTTTTTTCAGTCAATAAATAAAAACCAATTATGATATCACGTTTTAAGCGGAAAGTTAGCCAAACATCTGGAAGCATTATCTCGGAAATTTATGTCAATAATTAGCGTATTTCATATTTCTTTACTGCTTTGACCTATTTGGTAGATAATTAAAGAAAAACATTTTTGGCAAAATAAAAAAAACCGCCAAAATTGGCATTATGCCAGAAGAAAAATTATAGCAATGAACAATATTTAATGCATGATTGGTACTTACCAGTTCATGGACCAGTTTTTTCAGTTAATAAATGAAAACCAATCAGCAAAAAAAAATTTAGCAAGTCAGGCTGAATCTTAAAATATCAAATTTTAAATTATAAAAAATAAATTTGGTCTGAATATATTAAGGTTTTTTCTTCCCGATTCAAGATATTTTTAAATTTTATGATTCCATGATCTTCATAGATGTTACTTTTTCTTTTCGGTATGTAATTTAAATCTCATTAATTTTAAATCTAATTATATTTCCAAAAATTTGATATAATTCAGATATTGAGACATAGCTCTAAGCCAGAAGTTTGCCAAATTTTTGAAAGCCCTAATTCTAAAGCTTAGGTTAATATGTAATGCTAAAGAATACATTTTAGCTTAGTCTTCAATTCGCTTGGTAAACAGTAGAAATAAAAAGTTATTAGCAAAATATGAATTTCTAAAATTGATACCAAGATTCAAGATAGAACGAAATTTCTACAAGCATAAAAGCAATTAAAGAAAAATTAAATAAACAAAATATCTAAAATAAGTTTTACTATTATTAGCATTATAAAAAATCCTGTCGTTGTAGCTTTGATACTTTTATATTTAACAGCGGCATAAAAGTGTGGCATATCTGTGCTTAACATTTGTTGAAATAGAAATAAATTAATGATTGTTTCTTCATAATGAAATTGACAAAGAAAAATTTTCTTTATAAGGAATATTGCAACTAGACAAGTTTCTTGCAAGATAATTTTAAATTTATTTTAAAAATAATCAACTACTATAGATCAAAATTATTTTTAAATTAAAAACATAAAAATAGTTGTTTTTTAAATTCTAAGCAATTTAGTAAATTAAAATAAAAAATTTCATTTTTTTCATGGGACCTACGCCGCTACGTCAGATTTTTATAAACTCTTATCTTATTTAAACTAATTGAAAAAATGGAAAAATAATAGAGCAAAATTGATAAATTTTTTTCTATATAAAGGATGTCGGTATTTTAAATCGTTAAAAAAATATTTAATGTCATGCTTGTTCTAATAAGCTTAGCCGAGATCAAACAATGAATAAAGAATTCCAAAAAAGAGGGTCTAATGTCCGGTTTCGATTCCTTATTTTATTTTCAAAATGGATAGCGTCTTGAGGATGCTGCTGATAAAATATGATTTATCAAAGACGAAGAGAGGTTGTGGTCTGGGCAATACTTATAACCTTCCCTATGATTGCAAAGGACGGTGGGTTGAGAGGTGTTACATAAGAGTAAAATTCTTATTTATTTTATTATGGAATTGTGGCTTATGATAATAAAATGTTAGAGAGTCAATTATATTTATAACTTGTTTAGAGGAAGAGAAAAATAATTGCAAATTTATTACAAACAATTAATATAAAAAACATAATATATTAGAGATTTTAAAAAGATGAGTGTTAAACGAGCACATTCATTATGAGAACTATTGACTAGGATAAAATCTATTTAAGCCAAATTGGGGTAGATTTTGATATAACTCAATTTTCTAAACGAGTTCCACGTCCTAATAACTAGTATTATGATTATTTTTGAACAGGAACCCACTAACAGATCTTGAACTGGAACCAGAACCTTGAAATCACGTCAAATCTAGAGACCGAAGCAAGATTCGTTTAATTTATTTTTGAATAACAATAGATTTAAGGATGCATTAAATCGTAAATCAAGTTTTTATGAACATTATTTTATTTAACTATTTGTATATATTTATAGACTATTTTTTTGACTAGGTTCATGAGGCGATCGCGCGATTTACTAGAAATAATAAATGATAGTTGAGAATGCCAGAATATTGTGTTTTTTTTGTTTATTTTTTCTGTTTTCTACTCCTGTTTTTATCTAAAAAAACGTTTTTCTTGTTTTTAAAACATCCATAAATAGATGAACAAAAAAATATATCGATCAAATTTTAAAGTTTGTGTTGTCAAGTTTACTAAATTAATATCTAAATTTATAATAAATAATTAGCTAAATAAAGTTATAAAAATTTATTCAATTATAAAAATATCAATAAATAAAAATAACCATAGAGAAATTTGCGACTATATTTAGATTTGAAATTTTATATAAATATATTCAAATTATTTACAGATGATTATATATATATTTTATTATTAATTGACTTGTAGATTTTATCAAAAAGAGCATTTTAAATAACGAGCGGTAAAAATGTAATCTCATCTTTCAAATCCTTCTTCCAGGGATACAGGGGCCATCGTCATTGAAATTGTAGGATCTAGGTAGATATTTGGATAATATAGATATAGAGGTTCATAAAGCAAGACAGAATTAAAATTGTCACAGATTGTATAATTCGGCATTTGAATAATTTTTTGATCCTAGTTTCTAGAATAAATTTTATCCTGTATAATATTTAATATGATTGATTTGGAAACCTATATAATATTATAGAAATCACAAGATCCTGTGGCACATTATCAAGCCATTCTTATTGTGGTAATCAATATTCGTGATAAAGTATTTCGCGGAAAAAATTTTAAAATATATTTAAATGTAAATAATAATGATTAATTGAGTCATCTTTTTTTTTAAATATCCTAGGTAGTATCCACTATGAAAATGGCACTTCCAAATGTTATTTGTTTTGTTACTTAGAATTAATATCTGAAAATATTTGTATTTAGACCTTTTATTTTTATTTGTGAAGATTATAAAATAGGGGCATAATATCCGGTTATTAGATTGATTGTCGTTGTAGAAATAAAATTTCCATTTTCGTGCTGCATAAATTAAAAAGAGTAATATATTTTTGGGAGCCCGAACGGAGTCTTTGAATTTTTCTTTGAAAAATACCGCAATCGCACAGCAGGGTTATGATAATACCCATGAATGTTAACTATGAGGTGAATAGTCAAGAAGTGTTACGGCTATAAATCTAAATAATTTTTCGATCTCCCTTCCCCGCTGTGTACGCGTCTGCGGGAAGTTTAAAGATTCTAACTATTTGTCAATTAATAGGGTTGTATTTATAGAATATATATTAATTTAAATGCGCAATTGTGATAAGTATGTTTTTATATGTGAAATGATTAAGATTTTAAGTTATAATTTTAAATATGAAATCTTTAGGTAAAATATCTGATTATCGTATCATATAAAATTGTTTTTTATTAAAAATATAATAGCTGAATATTCTTTCACCCATCGTAATGGAGATGTATTTGTCCAGAAATATAGGAACTGATAGAAGCCATATAAAATAAGGATAGACTAATAAAGAGGGCCCAGCCGAAATGGGTAAAAACTGGCCGAAGGCCCACACAGGGAGATATGAGGGCGAAGCTCCCATAAAAATGAGCTATTGGGAAAATTGCCCATGAGCCTGCAGCATCGGGATTCTGCCCCCGAAAATTTATAATAAAAAAAAATTTCCCACCCTTAATTCTTTATTGTTAGAAATAAATTAAATTATTTTGTTTTGGCTATGGTCCAATTTGGACTTTGTATTTAGTCCTGGGGCTTTCATGGTCAGGTACTTAATTATATATATAATCTAAGCTTGGATCGAGGTAATAAGGGGCAATGGCACGTTATTAACTTAAGTAATGTAGAAGTCTCGTAGGCGTGGAGGTATACCCTAAGATATATGTATAACATTTATATATACTTTGAGGCGATCTGTCGTCATTAGGTGTTGTATTAGCACTGCAATAAGCTTCGTCATCGGAATATCTCGTCAAAACAGAATTCATTCAAAGTTTAGGGAAATATTATTATATAGATTTTTATTCATATCTTGGTTGCATGTCATGATTAGATAAGTATATAATGTTTGAAACTGTGATAGAGGTTTTGGAAAAATATATCCGGAAAATTAATGTCTGGAATTTATTGGAATTATGTTGATTTTCCTGTTTCATAATAAAATGATAAAATAAAATGATAAAATAAAATTATGCAAAATTTATTTATAAATAAATAACGTAAATATTCGTTATCATTTTTATCATACTATATTTATAATTATATACCAGATCGCTTTAAAATAAAATTACTATGTAATAAAATGATTAATAAATAACAAAAAATTATTTAAAAGAAGATTAATTGCGTGATTTGGAAGAATATGGTTAAAATCTCCGAGCATAATTTAAAAAAAAAAATAAAAGATATGAATTTGTTGAAAAAAATAGAAATGGAAGATGATATTATCTAAATTTAAAATAATAATAAATTTAGATTAATCAACAAATATTTGATGTAAATGTATAACGTTTATTTAAAAATTGTTTATATCAATTTTGTTATTTATTTATCTATTCGCATCATAATTTTGGAAACTAATTTTAAATTTTCTGATTTTTAGACATTCCCCTCCTTCTCCCACTACTCAGATCAATCAATTTTTTTTCAACGATTTTTTACGATATAACCCAAAATGTAAATTTTTTTAATATTGTAAAAATAAAAAAAACATTAATATTCTCTCAAAATATTAAGTTTTTTAAATCTCATTCCGAGCCTAACAACCAATTATATGAACCCGAACCCGTTTTTACAATTTTTTTTAATATAAATTATTGATTTGAATTAATATTATTTCATATTAAGTTATTTAGCTTAACATTTTCCCGGGTGCATAGCGAAAATATTACCGTATAACGATATTTTAGTGAATGCATTATCATAAATACAATACTGCAAATGAAATTACATATACTAAAATAAATATTATAAGCTATAGTAGGCTATAAAGGCGTGATATGAAGCAGGTTAAAATATATATTAGATGTAGCCAATGGGAGAAATGATTCCCCTATTAGCAGTGGAGTAGCCATGATTTATAAATATAGTAATTCCTTAGATATAGGATGTAAGAGCTATTAGTTTAATTTATAAAACATGGAATATATGGTTCCACTGGCAGAATTCAAATATATCTAATACTTTAAAACAAAGGTTTATTTTATTAAATTTAAAATTATCAAAATCTTTTGTATAAAAATAATAATAACATTATCCCTTTTTTTCTTTTATACAAATTCTCTTTTAAAACAATAATAAGCTAAAACTTTATTAATTTATCAAAATATATAACACTCTCTAACATAAATCACTATATCCCTCTCTCATATATAAAAAAAATTAAAGGCGCATCCATATCCTTATTGCCGGGTCCCATTTATGAAGAACTTGGATTAGAATTTTCTCGTAGTTATTTTTATTTTGTTTTTTATAAAAAAGTATTATCTTTATTACTCTCTGTTAAAATTGTCCGCATAAATGGAAGCCTAAAATCAAAATTTTTGCCAATGTTTCATGCTTTATTAGACCAGTATAGTAGCCAGCATAAATTAAAAAATTATTAGAAACCAATTTTTGACCAATATGATTAAATAGAGACTGAGAGCATTTATCCTGAAAATTTTATCGATATTAGTGCTGAATTGATTATTATTTTAACATTGGAGAGTATAAATAAAAAAAAGTCATTATAAATAAATAAAAATTGCCAAAATTGGATTATGCCAGAATGAAAAATATAGAAGTACTCTAGGTCTGTGTTAATATCTAGCGCTGGCTTAATTATTAATTCCTTAATCAGTATGAACCAAAAAAATATTCGAGTAGGGGAGACCAGGGCTATTCGGCGCAATTTTTGTCAAAATCATCATAGGTCATAAAATATGTATTTAAATTTACTAAATACCATAAGATAGCCAAAACATCTATCTAACCATATAAATTAATTAATTTTTTAAAATTATTTTATACTTTTTTCTCAAGATTGATTCTAGTGAAAGTAAATTTTTGGGCCAACAAGCCCCAAGCTCGGAACTTGAGATTCAATTATTTTATTAAGTCTCCCATAGGATAATTAATAATATTATTATTATTCCATTATTTTCATGGAAAATATTTTATTGATATAAATATACCATTTACCTAAAAGTAATTCATAAAAAAATGACAAAGTATGACATTATTTGAATTATAAAAAAATGTGTAAAAATTTTTGATAATTTTTCTTATTTTTTCCTAATTCTATTGTGTAATCATATAGAATTGATTCAGTGGCCTATCCAGGATTTTCCTATAGGGGGGGATTTTAAGGGTGCTTCGCCCCCAAACCCTCCTTAGCTGGCCTTCGGCCGGGTCATATGTTTGAGTTATTCTATTAAATTATTCATAATTCAATAAAAATAATATTAATATTTTTAGCTTTTATTTACTAATTCGCGTTAAAGAAGAAATTAAGGTTATAATAAATTTTTTATTATTTTAAGTTAGGTATATTATATAATTTTTTAAATGTAAAATTGAAATAAAATTTAGTGTTTCTTTAAATAAAATTTGCTTTAAAATCTAGCCTCCGCTTAAATTCTCATACAATATAAGTAGAATAAAATTTTTTTTATTGAAAATACTAATTAGTGCGTATAAAATATTGCCTAGGTAATAATTTTAAAAGCAAGTTTTTATAACTTTTATCAAATACAATATTATACAAAAAATTTATTAAAAAATGTAATTATAATGTTAATTTTCGTGGGGAAATTTGCCAATTCATCAAGATTTAGGAAAATCCTGGATATGACACTGACTCACAAGGAAATAAAATTATAAAATTAAATTGATAGTCAAATATTGGCAAAATTTTGATTGATTGGGGGAGGGGAGGGGGTGGTTAATAACATAAAATGATAAAAGTCAAATTTACGATGGAAGGGTAAATTCTACCCCCCCCCCCTCCCACCATTGGTTACGCGCCTGTATTGATTTAAATATATAATAGTGGCCAATAAATGGTTATTTCATATTTGTAAGCATAATTTGATTGATCCGACTAGCCCTGATTCTACTACTATTTACTAATATAAATAATAAATATTATGCCTTGATTACCGAAACTAATGCCCAAATGCAGTAAAAAGTTGGTATTATATTAAATATATATTCATATTTGTTAATAATTGTAAATTTTTGTTTGGGTCTAGGGTTTATATATAATGAGTTGGTATTTATAATAAACTAAGACAGATAATTTGTTCGGTTAATACATTCTCGGTATTGTTTTTCTGGTAATCTAATTGCGTAAATTCATCTTACTTGCACTTTACCGAATCTGGACCAAAAAAGTCAGGGACCATAATGTTTTTTATGATTTAAAAAAGGAAATTAATGGAAGGAAAAGGGAAAGCAAAAAAATTAGGAAGAAAAAAGAAATGAATGAAATAAATGAATAAAAGAAAAACAGAAAGAAAGAAACATGTATAAAATATTTTTTTAATCTCCCAAATCTTTAAAATTTTGATCTCGAAAGTGGCAATGGCAAAGACAACTTATTTCGTTCAATAAATTCTTTTTTTTAAATGAATATTTATAAGCATTATATATAAAAATATATTATAAAGTAATGTTCTTATTTCAAGGCATTTTTTAAGATAATTTATATAAATATATTTATAAAAAAAATATAAAATTACATATATATCAGGAATTCAGTAAGATATTTTATTAAAAAATAAACCATATAAACTTTATATGAGAAAATAAGTACATTGATCTTTATCTGTTTTGGAACAAAGTTTATTCTAAATGATAATATTATGATTAATTTGGATTTAACCGATGCAATTATATTTATTCAATCTTATTTAAATTTAATTCAATTTTGAAAGAATTTAAAGAGTCTATCTGGTTTAGTTCAAGTTTTTCTGATATTCTATTTATTTATTTATTTGTCTTTATCTATATTATTGTTTCAAAAATGATTGATGTTTAAATGGTGAGGTATTTCCGGCGAAACAATTTTGGAAGACTTAATACGACAACAAGAGTTTTAATTATATTATCGTATAAGTATTTTCTGGTTATTTTTCAAATTTCAATTTATTCATACTACTAATATCAGGTTATATCCCAAAATCTAGAAATATAGAAAACATTTTCTATCTTGGATCAAAATCACGAAAATGTAAAAAAATCACGAAAATGAAAAAAATCACGAAAATGTAAAAAATATATAGAAAATACTATAAAAATGAAAAAAAAAAATAAACTTCCATCTGAGCAAAGATTGCAATTAGATAATTGAGTATCTTAATCAATAAATATATATTTACATATTTAGAATCCTCATTAAATTAGAAATTTAATCATATATATACCGATATATAATTTTGTTAAAAATAATTTTTTAAATTAATTAAAAATGTTTTTGTGAATTTTTTTTAAAAATATATTAATTTATATATATTCAGAATCACTATCAAATTTGCAGTTTATTGATAAAAAATTTTATTAACATATATCGAATACCCCAACGATTTTCGACGAAAGGATAAAAAATATAATATTACAAATGAAATTAAAACAGGTTATTTTTGTGGTTACATTATAGTAAGTGTATGAATATACAGTTATATGGTATGGATTAATGAATATACATTTAAAAAGTATATAGATTATTAAGAGAATTATGATTATGTGTGTGTATATATATATGAAATAAATCTGGAATTTTGAAGTTAGATGTATTATATTTATTTGGTTAATTAACGTGTAATGTATTCGTTTATAATTTCTATTAAAATTGTTTTGGAAAAGTTATCGCCATCGCCGTAGTTCATGTTTTAACCTACCGACTCCATCACCGATCTCTTTATCTAAGTCTCGTTTAGTTTCTATATTTTCGTTAACTTCCATGATAAAATATCCTGGAAAGTTATTTTTGATTTAAAAATATAACAACTCATTCAATAATTTCACCAGACGTTAATTCCCGGTCCTTAAAAAAAGACATATATGACTAAAACAATGTAATCTTTATCAGGTTTAAAAATATTATTAATTATTTGGGGGAATGAATCCGAAACAATATCTGTACTATAATATAT